GGTACCGTTACCGGTACCGTTACCTTACCTCCCCTTCCCCCTACCCCGACCCGACCCTTCCTCCCTACCCCTACCCCTACTAACCCCTAACCCCCCCACCCCCCCCCCCACTCCCCCGCTCCTCTCTCTTGCCTTCCCTCCATTCTTCATTTTGTCTGTTCGCTTTCAGCTCGTTCTGTGCCTTTCTCTCCTTGTTCTCGTCCTCGTCCTCCTCCTCGTCCTCCTCCTCGTCCTCCTCTTCCCGCAAGCATTCTCACATGACTGACATCATTACAGGTAGCTCTGGCTCGATCGGGCAAGGCCAAGAAGTGAAGGCAAAGGAGAGAAGAACGGAAGGAGAGCGAGTAAGAGGGTTGGAGAAAGTCGCCAGGAGGAGGACGAGGACGAGGACGAGGACGAGGACGAGGACGAGGACAAGGACAAGGACAAGGACAAGGACAAGGTGGAACGTGACATGACCTGTCATCGGCTACATACTTTACATACTTCTCAACACGAGCTGCGCTGTTTGCGGGTGCCCTCCAGCTGGAGAGCTTGTTCCCACCGCTCACTCGTCACCTCCTCCTCCCCGTAGCTCGCAGCCAGCAGGCGGCTCAATGTGAGCCAGAGGCCGAAAGTCTCCTGGGTGACTCCCTGCTGCTCCTGGCAAGACGTAAGAGATTGAAGGAGGACGAGGACGAGGACGAGGACGACGAGGACGAGGACGAGGACGAGGACGAGGGGGGGGAAGGGGAGGCGGGTACAGATGTGTGAGGGAAGGGAAGGAGTAAGAGGAAGGGATCCCCTGAAAGGGACAGTAGGTGGAAACAATGGAGTAGACAAATTAGGGGAGGGGGAAGAGAGAGGGATATTGGAGGGGGCGTGCAGGGGAGGAAGAGGAGGAGGAGGAGGACGAGGAGGAGGAGCAAACCTGACGAGCGGAGACGAACTTCTCCTCTGCGATCTTGCAGAAGTCGTCGCTCATCTTCACGTCCAGGCTGCGAGCCAGCTGGAGGTAGGCGCGGAGGCGAGCAAGAAGCTCGTCGGAGAGCTGCAAGCAGGCGTGAGGAGAGAATCCAAGGTGGGGGTGAAGATGAAGACCATAGCGAGGAGCAGGAGGACAAGCGCAGTAGCAGCACAAGGAGCATGGGGAGCAGGATAGGAGCAAGAGCGCAACCAGGAGCAAAGGAAGGAGGAGGAGGAGGAGATTACCTGCATGGGTTGGGTCCGCTGCTTGTGCTCAAGCTTCAACGCGATGTCGGTGCGGAGGAGAGATCGACCCTGCGAGAGGACGAGGGCTGGGACGTCTGTCGGGAACTCGACCTGCCACGAGCATGAGCGAGTGAGACGGAGCGGCAGCGCAGAGACGAGCAGGAGGTCGAAGAGGAGAATGAGGAACCAACGAGGAGGACGAGGACGAGGACGAGGACGAGGACGAGGACGAGGAGCAGGAGCAGGAGCAGGAGCAGGAGCAGGAGCAGGAGCAGGAGCAGGAGCAGGAGCAGGAGCAGGAGCAGGAGCAGGAGCAGGAGCAGGAGCAGGAGCTACCTGCAGCTTTCCCATGTGCAGCATGTCGGTCTCGTAGTCTTTCTTGGACGTCATCGACTTCCCGCAGAGCTCCTTGATGCTCAGTTTGATGTCTGCAACCATTGGCAGCAGCTTTCTTAGCGTCTCCAGCAGCTCCGAGGAGGAGGAGGAGACCTCCGCGCTCCCGGGCTGAAGGCCCGAGAGAGCGAGAGAAAGTTTTCCTGCAGGAGGTTGACGGTCAGATCATTTCCCTCTCCTCTCAAACCACCTCCCCTCCTTCCTCCCGCCTTCTCCTCCTCCTCCCGCGAGTCTCTGGTTGGCTGCCTCCTCCTCTCCAGTCTACTTCCCACTCCCTCCTCCTCCTCCCCCTCCCCCCCCCCTCTCCTCTCCTCTTTCTTTCTCTCACCAACAGGAACGCCATGCAGGCGGTGGTAGATCCGGGAGATCAGATGGCACAGAAGGTACTCAGCCGCCACTTCATCCCCATGCGTCAAGTTTGACAAGATGTTGACAAGCTGAGAACGCAACGAGAGGAAGTTGCGGCGGACCTGAGAGGGTCGCAAAGTCAGCTGGGGGAGAGCTGGAAGACCAGCTGACCTCTTCCTGCAGCAAGGGAGAAGGAGCGATGGAGTCCAGCCAGCAGGCATGGAGAGGGCGGAAGAGGATGCCGTGGATCCTTGGGAGGACGCTGGAGGGCATGGAGGACGGGAGCTCTGCGTTGAAAATCATCATCCTGCTATCCTTGCTGCTGCTGCTGCTGCTGCTGCTGCTGCTGCTGCTTCTCCTTCGATCGCTCTCAACTATTTTGCTTTTCTCCCATCCTCATTCGAGTGACCTCCACCCTCTTGCTCATCGGGCTCACCGGTAAACTCCGAGGCAGCCAGAGGGAGCATGTCGCTGTCGACCTCGTCGCAAGAGGAGGATGCAATGTGTGGGTCGATCGAGAGAATTCCCTGGGGAGAGTCAGAAGAAGGATGAGGAGCCGCTGGTCGATGAGCGATGAGGAGCGCAGGGAGGGAGAAACGAGGCTGAAGATTGAAAAGAGGAAGGGAGCGAGGATAAGATTGTTGCTGATGTGGGGTGTGGGATGTGGTGGTGGAGGAGAAGGAGGAAGAGGAGGAGGAGGAGGTTGCTTTTTTTGGGGGGGGATGGGGGAGGAGGAGGAAAAGAAGTGGTTTGGGGGAGAAGACTCATACCACGACTTCGTAGATCTCGTTGACTTTCACAGACTCTCGGGCATCGGCGTCGTAAACCTTGACAATGGCTGCTTGCTTGCTGTCGATGCGATCGTTCATGTGGGAATGACAGAAGGCTGTGCAGGAGGTCAGGCGGGAGGGACTGAAAGGAAGGAGAGCAGGGGTGCAAGAAGGCGGGAGAGGAACGGAGGGCGGAGGACAGATGAAGTTGGAAGGATGCAGGGGAACGGGAAGTGATACAAAATGGTGAAGATTGTATGGAGGAAGGGAGAGGAGGAGGGAGGAAGAGGAAGAGAGAGGAAGAGGAAGAGAGAGGAAGAGGAAGAAAAGGAAGAGGAAGGGAGAGGGAGGGGAGGAGGGGACGCCTGGGTTACTCACATCCGTCAGAAATCTTTGCACCCTTCTCTCCATCATTCATTCCCTCCTGCCAGGTTGTAAGGAGAGGAGAAACCAAGATGCTTCGTCCTCACGCTCTGCGACTTGCTGCAAGATCTCTTGTTCTCCTGCTCCTCCATCCCCGACACATCAGCCATCTCCACGTCCTCTTCCTCCAAGCTTCGCTTCGAGCGCTGCTCCTGACGGTTACTTCAGTCCGCCTCCTCCCTCCTCTCGCTTTACCGTTGAAGTCATGGGCTCCTCCCTCGCCTCGTGCTCCTCCCCCACCCAGGAGGACTCGAAGGGGATGCTGATGCAGTGCAAGGGGATCCGCTCGAGCGTCGCAGAGGACGCACTGCTCATGTCGACGTCACAACCTGCAGGGAGAGGAAGTCAGACCACGGCCACGACGATGGGAGGGAAGAGAAGAGCGGATGGTGGGAGGACGAGGAGATGATGACAAGGGAAGGAATAGGCGGCAAGATGTGGGAGGAGGAAGTGGAGGAAGTGGAAGAGGACGATGACGATGACGATGAGGATGAGGACGAGGAGGAGTCTGTCAGCGGTAGGACGAATCTGTGCTGACCTTCCTCAGACTCGACTGAGTCCGCATAGAGGGAGAAGCGCCTTTTCCTCTCGCCAGTCGCCTTGTTGACAAGCTCGTACTCCCCCACGTACCATTCGGGGTTGTAAGTGTTCTGAGCAGGCGGGAAGGTTTAGTGCTGGACAGCTAACAGACTTCGCATCCTTCTACCTGCACCATGCACCGAAAGCGGACGAGGGTCCCAGGCCTGATCTGCTCCACTTGGTCCACGGAGTTCAGCAGTGGGATCTTAGTAGCGGTGGGTGAGATAACGCTAAAAGTAAGGCGGCATGGAAGGTGATGGAGAGCGGGAGGAGGAGGAGCAGGAGGAGAGGGAAGAGAGAACCAGGGAAGGTGTAGCATCAGAAGGAGGTGCGAGTGAGAGCTCACCTCATGCCAGTGATCGCGCAGGCTGCTGGAGAAGTGCTCCTTGACCAGCTGAGCCTTCACGTCCGAGGAAGGTGACTCGGTGAGAATGCGGCCGATTACCTTGCTGGGCTCTCGAATCTCTTCGATGGTTGGGGTTGCGATGGGAACAGGCATCCTGCGTTGCCTGAGAGAGTGAGAGTTTCAGAACAAGGATACAAGACAGTGATGAATGAGATACAAACAAGAAGTACGATAGATGTTTGAGAAGTGAAACCAAACTCATTCTGCTTTGATTGCTATCATCTACTTCGGTTGATTTCGTCTCTCTCCGGGTAGTTCACATCGACTTTCCTGTCTGCTTCTCTCATTCCATTAACCATGTCGCCTCCTCGCTCGCGTCCCCTCGTCCTTCCTCCCTCTCTTTCTCCCTCCCTTCCTCCCTGCCCTCCCGCTTTTTGCATGCCCCCCTCGCTTTCCTTTTTGGGAAGGAAGATCGCCGTTGAAAACCGTTTACGCCGGTAAAAATACTTGAAAAATCGGCCCGGGCCGGATCTGCCACCGTCCCGGCCACGGTGCCAGTCGACCGGCGGCTGGCAAGGCCCGGTTGAAACACTGACTCGCCGGGGCCCGCCATTGACCCTGAAGTAGTGTGACTGAAAACTTGATCATTCGAGTCGGCCAATGGCACGGACTCTAAATTTATTCAAATGATGCTGATCGGACGTCAGTCACTGGCATATCAGAATATCAGGCTCCCCCTCAGGCTCCTGCAGGGCCCTCAGATGCTCGAGCTGTCGCTTCCTCCTGGTCAACTCCCGGAGCAGCCGGACGGTCCCTGAGACTGGCCGCGAGGTCTCAGCTGGTGTCGCTCGGCGGCTGAGACTCATCCTGTGAAGCTCTAGTCGAGCTACGTGGCACCTGTACGCAGCCTGAGGGAGGAGGAGAAGGTCGAGGTCGAGGAGAGCAGGTAAGAAGGAGGGGATGCAGAAGAAGCAAAAGGTTAGAGAGTTGACAGGAGATGTGCAAAAAGAGTCAACCTGGATCTTGCATGCAAACTTCATCCAGAAGATCCACCGCGTCTCAACTCGCGCGCGATGCGTGCGGTAAGAGCACTGAATTATGGCGGCGGCTCCATGGAGCAGCGAGCTACTCGCCAGCTGTTCTTCGATCCTTCTATCTGCTATCCCTCCCCTCGTTACCCTCGGCGACATATGCCGATGTTCACTGCTGCGCAAGTACTTGTCCTCATCTCCAGCGTCCCCCTGCTCGACATAGTCGACATCAATTTCTTCCCCTGTCTGCTGCTGCTGCTGCTCCTCCTCCTCCTCCTCCTCCTCCTCTTCCTCTTCCTCCACTTGTCCGTTCACCCGCTGCTCCACCATCCCCTTGCCTGTTGTATGCTCTTGCTCTCCTGTAAACAACCTCATCGACTCGCTCAGGTCCTCCCCCCTCCTCAATCTCACCTGACGCTTTCTTGCCTTCATCTTCCTTCCCCAGCACTCCCCTCCTTTCCTTCTGTGCTCTACCCGCCGCCTGCTGTACTCCTCTCCCCTCCTCCTTTCCTCCCCCCCGTTCCTCCCTGCGGTTCAAGTCTTCGATCCATCGCGCCGTCTCTACCTGCAATCTTCCCCTTCCTTCTCCTTCCTCCTGCGGCCGACGACGGGGCTGTCCTGGTCGCGTCCTAGTCGTCTTGATGGGAACGGATGAGCGATCGAAGGGCATGGGCGAGGACAAGTCGCAGTGCCAAGAGAGCAAGTCCTCATCTGCAGCAGGAGTAGCGTCATCCTCAGGCTTGGCGTCTCCTCCTGTTACCGACAGACTCTGCTGGTGGGCCGCTGGGGTGCGAGGAGTTTTCAAGCTCGAGCCAACCCGGAGGGAAGCAGTCCAGAGAGGAGCTCGTGGCTCCCGAGCTTCGGATTCTATCCACCAGCTCCATCCGGTGCGGCCCGCCTTCATACGAGCTCGCGTCCTTCACGACGTCGATGAAGTCGGCTGCTGCTTGCTCCTCCCTGCTTGGGAATAAGCGCAAAAGGTCGCTCCTGACTTCACTTCTGCTCCTCTCTTTGCCTGAGTCCTGACTCCCCCCCACCCCCACCTCCCCTTCCTCGCTCTTCTCCGCCCTCTCCCGCCGACTCACTGGAAATGCACGAGCCTTGAGGATTTCTTTGCCTGCTTCTCAGGCGTACGAGAAAGTCGCTGAAACTCATCAGGTCAAGCTCATCTCCCACTCTTTCACCTGCTCCTGCAGCCTTCGCATCTGCGTTGCGATCGCCTCCTTTCCCGGAAGAACCTGCAGGTGACCAACTTGAGTCCTGGCCTGACGAGCAGCTTATCGAGCTCACTTTCTCCAGGTAGTCCTTGAAGGGATGCCACCTCGGCAGCATCCGCAGCAGAGCAAGACAGTAGGAGAAGTTCTGCAGTGCTTCGTCTGGGAGGAAGAGCTGCTCGTGGCATATTCCCGCGTTGTACATGCAGACGGTCAGGTCCGTCAGGATCGTCAGGTCGAGCGTTGGCTTCACGCTCTCAGGAACTTGCAGGTCTTCTTGTCCAAGAATCAGCAGCGAGCCCTTGGCCCAGAGCCACTCGGCCTGGCGCGCAGTCAGTTGCAGCTGGTTGTCAGTTGGAGATGGAGGAGCACCTTGAGGTCGTAGAGCGCCTTCTCGCAGCAGCGGAGAGCGTCCTCGTAGTTTCTCATCGTGATCAGCAACGAGGCCTGTAAGCTCGTTTCAGACCGTGAACGAGGGCCCAACAGAGAGCACCTGGTTGATCAAGACAGAGGCACGGTCGGAGGGGAGGCAGGAGCAGATCTTTCCTTCTCCTGACCTGAGGTAAACCTTTCAGAGCATCCTCATGCACCCATGCTCAAGTACTCGATCGTCATCTCCACTGCCTGCTGCAGGTGCTTCTTGGACGATGCCAGCAGTCCCTTCCTCCTAAAAATGTCCGCCAGGTTCACAAGCGTCCAGATCCTCAATCGCGTCCTCCTGCAGGTGGTGGTCTTCCTTCTCCTGGAAGTCCTTTGCTCACAGAGACAGCAACTGTCCTTCCCGCTCGAGTGTCTCGTCAGCTCCTCCGCGCGCAGCAGCAGAGGGACACTTTCATCCAGGCTCTCTTCGGACACCTCGAGAGCAGCAGCGTTCAGGAGGAAGGAGATTCTCTGCCGCACGAGGGGAAGGAGCGTTGGCGAGTGATGAAGAGCAGCGACATGGGTCATGACTTCTCGCTCCGCCATCAATGCGGCCTGACTCAGGCTACCCTCTCGCGCAAGATGAACTGAGGACGGCAGCTTCCATATCTCCTTGATGCAGCGAGCGCTCCCATCGCCCACCTCCCACTGCAAGTCCCACTCATCCCACTCAACGTCATCCGCAAGCTGAGACGTCACTTCTCCTACCTCCTCGCTACTACCTGTCCCCCTTGGCTCGTCCCTGTTGTGTAGGCAGACTCTCAAAGTCATCCCCACCCACAAGGGCTCCCGTAGCACGAAGGATCGGTGGAGGAGCTCGCCCTGGATGAAGTAGAGTCTTCTGTCAACTGACCGCTCTGCCTTCATCCCCAGCAGCATGCATCGCCTCCTCAGCCTCCCCTCGCCCCATCCTCCCTCCATCGCATCGACCACTGTCATGTCCCGTCCGACGGTCACTGCCACAAGTTGACCTCCTTTTTTAATACCTGATGCCGCCAGTCTCTTCCGGGCCCGGGGCCCGGCCGCCCGTGACGGCCTTGATCAGCCTGCCCCGGTCATCGGTTCCGAGCCATATCAGCCTGATCCGGTCGGCACGGTGTAACGGTTTCAAGAGCTTATTCAACTGCTTTCAACTGCCGTAACGGGTCAATAAGGTTGATGGCACGTTCAAGGTCTGTGCCGGTCCGCAGCTCTACAGGGACAGCAGGACTACCGGTACGTTCAACTCAAAAACTACGGGAAATCATAGGTGGGGTTATCAGGAACAAACTCAGAAAGCGTTGAGATATCTCAACGCTTCAAATGATCCTCCATTGTTGGCCCTTACAGGGAACCTCCAGGGTTCTACACCCTTGTGGGACGAATGTACCCCACCTACAATCGAACCTTATGGGGGTGTCAAGTACCAGTGGTGGGTACCCCCACCCCTCAGGGCCTACAAAGGACTCCACCAAATCTGACCAGTTGGAATCTCCATGCTAAAAGTTCCCCACTTGACATCTCGAAATCACCCCTACCCCCAAAATATCAATTAAAATCAGGGGTAGAAGAGGAATCTCGGTTTTAAAAGCATGTCCCTCGTTTAGATATAGGGTAGGCCACCTTCTCAATGTGGGGGTAGTAGTGGGTCAAATGAAGGGTACTCTGGAAACAGGGGTAGGTTCGGGTCCGTAAGTGGTGGTGGGGCAAGGCCATCGGAGAGTGTGGAAGTGAGACGAGGGATAGAAAGACAGGAGAGTTGAGGATGCGATGCGATGAGATATGATAAGAAGAAGAGGAGAGGAGAGGAGAGGAGAGGAGAGGAGAGAGGGGATAGAGGGCAAATCATCAAGGAAGAAAAGGAAGTGGACAGAACAACATTGAGGGGATTAACGGGCGTGAGAAAGGCAATGGAGAACGATTTAAGTCAACTCGGAGAACAGGACAAGGGAATATGGAATTGTGACGCAGAGGTGTTTTCTTCCATTATTGTCTTGAGAGAAGTGTAGAAAATCTGAAAGAAAAAGATTATATCTGTGCAAATGAATACGCGGAGGAGTTGCTTAACATAGATTACTATGCCTGGAGTGAGACTGAGAGGTATCTTGCATAGAGTTGAACAATGAAGAGAAAGGAAACGATACCGAGGAATCCTCAAAATGAGATCGTTTTGATGTCGAATAATCTTTTTGCTTTTTAGGCGACGTTGACAGGCAGCACTGCAACCAATAAAGTATCAACATCTTTGTAGCTGACTTGAAATTCGAAATGGGCAATCGGATGGTCAAGGCTGATTCTCTGGACCAGCGAATGGATTCTGATCTAGACACGCTGAAAAAGATGCGAGTAGTGAACAGAAATGGTCGGCTGGACTGGAACGATGAACATTCAGTAAGCTTCCACTCTCAGATGAATTTGGTCTCGAATCGGTTGATGAATCACTCCTTCATCATGGAGAAGAAGAAGCAGAAGACTTTGCAGAAGAAGATAGTAAGAATTGCTTCTCTCTCGAATTTGAAACAGAAGAAATCAATTAGCAGATCCGTTTCTTTTTCAGATGATGTGATATCGTTCATGATCTTCAACAACTCAACAATGGATTTTCTGGATATAATGCATGGGGAGGATTTTGACACAGGCAATGATTTTGAAAGTACTCCGAGGGAAAAGTTTCCCAAGGAGTGTCACAGCATGAGCATGTGTGTATGACATAGCGACTGCCAACTGAAGGGGAAAATTCTAGCCGGGAGGCTCGTATGGCGTAGAAAGCAAACTGAAACTCTAGCACAAACTCAATAATTTTTGTTTCGTCAATAAATGAAATATGTGTACACAAACAATCAAACTCGCTGGTTTCCGGAGGAACATCAGGTGGCGAATGGAAGGAGAAGAACATCCGAGTAAGGCTGACGTTCGCATGAAGAGTTATGCACAAACAATACTATTACATGAGACTTCGACTGTCAAGACGTGGCAAGAAACTTTACGCGATGCCTTGCAGCTTCATGAAGAACTTGGCCGCCTGCTGTCCGAACAAGCGCTTGGTAAGAGCATGACGAGCACTGTAGCGCTCGCGCGGATTGAGGCGAAGCAACCCGCTAATGACTTCGACCCAGTCACTGCCTGAAGGCTCCTGCTTTGACCCTTGATTCTTGATGTCGCGCACGACCCTCTTGTTCTTGTGCAACGAGTAAACCTGAGTGACGGCAAAAGTCAACATCGAAAGCTCACAGACTGCACTCACAATCTCGTCGATCCTCCGCGCATATTTTGGCCAGCTTTGAAAGTGGTTGACGCACTCAAGTCCCTCAAACGTTTTCGGCGAGCCAGCGATTGCAAAAATCTTTGCGAGCTGATCGGAGTTGAAGTTGCGATGTGTCGCCTCAGGGCATTTGCACACGGTATTGAGTTGACCTTTGAACAAGGGCTTGCCATACAGCATCTCCACCAGGATACACCCGACAGCCCACAAGTCGACCATCTGATCGAAGGTGCGAGCCCCCATCAACAGCTCCGGCGCCCGATACCACAGCGTGGTGATCTCAGAGGCAACGAACCATGAGCCTCCAGGTATTCCGCGTTGAGCGATCCCAAAGTCACATATCTTAGCAACCTTGTCAGGTGATATCAGGACATTTTCTGGCTTCAAGTCGGTGTGGGTGACCTGAGATTCATGTCAGAGAGCGAAGAGTTGAAGAGAGAATCACCCCCATGTTGTGCAGGTAGGCCACCCCTTCCAAGATGTTCTGCGACCAACGCTTGATTGATGACAGGTCGAGCTGACTTCCTCGGGTGGATATGATTGTATGCAGATCGTTTTCTGCCATTTCAAGCACAATGGACGTGCAATCACTTGAACGACCGAGGAGCTTGACGATGTTGGGATGACTGCCGAGGGACTCGAGGGTGCAGAGTTCATTTCTGAAGGCCTGAAGGAAAAATGCGCAGCAGGAATTATACGGTGCTGCATCGGCTTGTCGAGGGACGGAACTCTTGTTTGAAGACTTGGTAACTGGTCTGAACTTGGGGTGGTTGTGAACAGCTTTCACCACAACCTTCTTGTTCATCTTGTGCAGTGTCGCTTCCCATACCTTGCCCTGTGTGCCCCTGCCGAGCAGTTTGTGAACCTGCGACGAAGATCAAACGAACAGGGAGGACTTTCAAAGATTCATCACAGTGAATTCATTCTGCTCGATTATCCTGGGGACAGTCGGTTTGTGCATTTCAGTCCTGGGAGTGAAGAGATTGCCGTGATCAGACAAGCACTGCCTTGCAGGTCGGCTTTTGGAATCCGGAGAGAGTGCATAATGATTCTTGTCAGTTAAATTCAGTGCCGGTCTGTGGAGAATGAAGTCAGCAATTGATACACTGCATAGGTTCACCTCACATCATGGCAGACTGCGACGAGTGCAAGGTGACGCCTGATCCAGAAAGAAGAATCAGATTCAGAAACAGGTTCCGATGGATCCAATGGGTTGGCTTCTAGTTGCACAAAGCTCAATTTCCGTGTGTCTAATTCAAATATGTTGCTATCACACACACACTTCAATAGATCGAAGCAGGCATGATGGACACACTCCTATCCGAGGCTTCTCCTTCCAACCCAGGTCTAGTCTTTCTTCTTCTCTACTAATTTAACCTCAAGTCTTTCACGCCTGCTACCGGGAACAGCTCCTTTCCTCTTCAACAGTCTTCTGGAGTCTCGCTCCTTGATCCACCTATATGTCTCCCTTTCCTCAGCTCCCCTTGAATTCTCCTCCATGGCCTCTGGCTCCTTCGCCAATCGCCATTCGCGGCACATCCACCCCTCGATTTTGAAAGTCGTTACTACGGGTACCAGGGTATTAGTACCACACCCTTCTCAAGTACACATCCATTTTTTTCCCAAGATTACTGGTATAGATTTTTGACAGGTAAACTTTAAAAATATTTTCAGTGTAGATAGTCTGCCATTCGGTACATTTTTGTCTCCGCATACTCAGTATAAGAGTTATATATATAATTGTAATACCATTGGCACGCTACCAGGCTAGTGCATAGGAATTAAATTATGTAGTTTTTATATCATCTGCGAATAGTACAGCTTGATAACATTATAATCGTTGTATCGGCCGTACATCACTGCTCTGAGTAAGTTAAAAAAGAGCAATTAAAATGCGCAGTTTTTCTGATAAAATGTTTTAAAAACCCCCGGTGTCTAAACATGTCAAGGGTGGGTGGTCTGTTGGCGCCGCAAGTTGCCGCGCCATGCCAGAAACTGGCCACGGGCCGGATGAGGGCCACAAACGATTAGAAAGCTGAGGCGAGCTCGGGTACAACAAAACATGTGGCCAAGAGGCGTGAAGAAGGTTATGGAGGGTCGGGAGAGACAAGGAGAGAGCAGGATTAGGAGGAGCAGGAGAGGGGAAAGCAGAAGGGCAAAGGGGAAAGCACCAGAGAAATGCTGGGTGAGTGGGATGAGGGGGTAGAATTTAAGAGAGCAGACAGGGGATACTAATCTGTGTGAATTCGTCGATGATTCTTTTGAGTTAAGGCATTGATATGGTCTAAGAAATATTTTGCTTAGAATACAAGCCTACAATTGGGTTAGTTAACAAACAATCTTTTCGTTAGAAACCAGGACAAAGTTCTTTCGATTGTAATGTAATGCTGCCTCGCAGGACTATTTGATCAGAACCGTGATGCTCTTCGAGCATAAGCATTTTTCGCTCGTGCATGTAGCGAGTGCACGTGCAATTTTATCTGCTGGAGCAGCTCTTCTTGTTCTTTGCTGCTTGATGCTGCAATGGTGGCAGCGGAGCCCTGATGCGCTTGAGATGTACGTAATTTCATCCCCGCGTGCAAGGCAGCAGAGGGCGGGGATAGAGCCATCCTCGCGACGTCTCCGTCAGAGTGTCCAGATGCGGCAACAAGTGAGTCGTTAAATTTGGAAACTCTTCCTGCATTCTCCTGCATGCCTGATCACCTCTGTGCAGATGCTGGGTGAACGGGTGGGCGACGGCTCAATTGAGGTTTCTTTGGATCCCGAGAGCATCAAGCGAGGCGGATACATAGCGTGGGTGAATCCAGCAGGAGAGGAGGCCGTGCCAATAGCGCGCTTCGCTCCTCCCGATGTCACGCTCAGTGCAAGGGACCGCCGGTATGGCGCGTACATGGTGTGGAAGAACAAGGGGGAAGTCACGTGTTTCGATGGAGGAGTCCCGCATGGATGCCCTCCTGAGGACGATGGTATCCAAAACAACGCAGCGGAGGTTGTGAGGTTGAGCCCGCGGGACGCCAAGCGAGGGTCGAGTGTGCAATGGAAGGATATCGTGGCACAGGAGGATCAGGAGGCAGAGGCAACTGCCAAGTCTTCGAGCTTCGAGCCTGTCCAGGTCTCCTGCAGCGACAAAAATCTTGGCGGCATAAGTCCTCCTCCTTGCTTCATTACCGTCGCTTCCCCACCCCTCACATCTGTCTGAATTTTGTGATTCATTTACATTTCACTAGATAATCAAACATGGAAAAGCAGAAGGTTTCCGTTGTAACTTCCCGATTTTTCACCTGCTTCAAACTTGTCGTTGCAACGTTGTATCGTCGTGATCCCTAGCAAACTTTCAGAACTGCGAGTCTTTGTTGCTTTCTTACATAATTCCAAACCCGACTTGTGAATTAGTCGACCCTAGTCCCTGAATCTTGTTGCCATACAATCCTTGATTGTATGTATCTGCCCAATCTGCAGATCACATCCACTCACATCAGCGGTTCGACTTGACGATCCACGAGTTACAGCAGTTGAGCGTGCGGCACACCGAAGACACAATACAACAAAGGGAATGGGCGCTGGAACAAGACCCAGCCTGATATCATCCATCACATGTATCATATCATCCATCACATGTCTCATATCATCCATCACATGCCTCATATCATCGATTCTATTCCTGACTTTCTGCGCTTCTCACCATTGCCGAAGAGAAAGAGCCGAGTGAAGAGCGGTACCAGCATTGCCTGTCGCTTCACGAAAAAGTCGATAAGGCTGGGTGGGTTTTGGATATTGCGATCACCTAAAGAAATTTCTGAAGTTGCAACCGGCGGGCCGTTCGGGCCGGGATACCCGAGTGGCCGGGCAACCGGCGGGTACCGAAATAGACTCCGGGCCGATGGCAGTTGATGAGACGCACTGCAAGAATGAGAACCGCTGTCGCCGGAAGGACAGGACTCCGGGCCGAGGGGAGCAGAGCAGGAGAGGGGACTACTCAAAGAGCCTGCCAGAGCAGAGCAGAGCACAGCAGAGCAGAGCAGAGCAGAGCAGAGCAGAGCAGAGCACAGCAGAGCAGAGCAGAGCAGAGCAGAGCAGAGCAGAGCAGAGCAGAGCAGAGCACAGCAGAGCAGAGCAGAGCACAGCACAGCACAGCACAGCAGAGCACAGCACAGCACAGCAGAGCAGAGCACAGCAGAGCAGAGCACAGCAGAGCAGAGTAGAGAAGAGGGAATTCATTTTGCAGTCATTTCGTTTGAAAATTTCATCTTTGACTGGAGTCTGGCAGGAAGGGCTAGTATGGCAGCTGGCCTGCATGCGAAGGCGAAGGCAGGAGACTCATCTGGCCTCCTTGCTCTGCTCCAGGAAGTAGAAGTAGACGCCAAGGATGCAACGGGTTGGACAGCTCTGCACTGGGCCGCGTCCAGGGGGAGGGAGGAGGCTGCTCGGACCCTGCTGGACAACAAGGCAGACCCAAACGCGTCGAATCATCTTTTATGGGCGCCTGTTCATGATGCTGCGAGGAGCGGCAATCCGTCGATCCTGAAGCTGCTCAAGGAGGCAGGCGCTGACATGCTCGCAAAGACGGACGGCGATTGCACCGCCTTGCACTTTGCCGCCAAGTACGACCGAGTGGATGCGATCAAGTTCCTTCTCATGGACGAGAAAGCGGACGTGAACGAGCGAAACAAGGCGGGTCAGACGGCTCTCTTCATAGCGAGCTCGCACGGCAACGAGGCAGCTGTTCGCGCCCTCGTCGAAGGAGGTGCAAGCGTCCTGATTAGCGACAAGGCCTCGAGAACGCCAGAAGACATGGCGAAGAAGAAGCAGATGCACGCTGTGCTCTCCCTCTTAGAAGAGGCTGGCCGCCGTCAGAGAGCTGAGAGGCTGGAGGAGGCTGAGGCAAGCATGAAGCACGCGGAGGACTTGGAGAGGGCAGGACGAGGAGAGGAGGCTGCCGAGAGCTACAGAGAAGCAAGGGCAAGCTTTGAGATGGTCGGTGAGCACGAGCGCGCACAAGCAGCGACAGCGAGGCTGCAGGCGCTGTGCTGAGGTAAACTAGCAAAAAAATATACAGACGAGTAAGAAAATGTCAAAAAAGAGGAGGGAACGACGTCAGCTGAGTCCTCGCTTCTCCAGCAGCCACTTGGCAGACGCTCGGAGCTTCTTGCCCGGGGACCTGCGGCCGAGTGAGACGCGAGGGGATGGGGGGCGGCACTCACTTGGTCCCATCTGCCTCCGAAGCTGCTTCGCTCGACTTAGAGGCCCCTGAGCAGAGTCAAGGAGGTTCGGTCGGAAGCGTGCAACCCACAGCTCGGAGGAGGAGGCGGCGGCAGCTCGTCGTCGTCGTCCATGTTGAGGTTTGCCAGGTTAGACTCCGTGTATTTCCGCCAACTTCAGTCAAGTCAGGAGGAGTAGGAGTAGGAGTAGGAGTAGGAGTAGGAGTAGGAGTAGGAGTAGGAGTAGGAGTAGGAGCAGGAGTGGTAGTTGTAGTAGTAGGAGGAGACTCACTCGTTGGCGCGGCTGGTTGACTCTACGACATTGTAATTGAGACTCGGATGCTGCAAGGAAGTCACTGCAACCGGACTCGTTCAAGGGAGCAAGACCTGAGCTCCGGGCATCATCGTGTTCGGATCGAAGTGAATCGACTCTGCTATCTCCGCTATCTTTGACGACTGCTTGGGAGGAGTATTCTGTCCTCCAACCGTCATCCATACAAATCTATCTTCACTCTATCTCTTTACCTTGGGCACTGGCTTTCCCGCCGCAAGATGTTCCATTTTTTGTTGAATCTCATACACACCTGGTACAAAGCAATCAAATTCTTCTACTACACGGATAGGAACCACCTCCTGTTCTTGTCGCCGCAGCAGCGTAACAACGAAAAAGAGCTTCTTCTGACGCACTATTTGTTTTCCTGCATTGAAAATCTTAGAAGCGTTGCGTTGCCTTTGCTTCACATCTTTACTTCTCGTCCTTTGCAACGTTTCCTTGCTTCCATCGATTCTTGATATCCCCGACATCCAACGAAGCCGTATCGATCTTCGTTTCTTTGGGCGGGACTCCTCCAATCCTTCCGGGCTCCGGTCTCGCGAGCTTCTCAAGGTCCCATCCAGCCGCCATGTCACCTGCCATGGGTGAATCAACAGAAGTTTCTAATTGCTGCTCCTCATCACCGGTTTCAAACATGGAGACACGATTGAAAACTGTTTGATTTCGAATGCTTCCGTCCGCAGCCTCCTCTTCTTCTGTCAGGCACCGTCCATGAGCACCCTATTTGCAGCAGCAAGAGCAGCAGCAGTCTCACTTTCTGGCTCTTCATCGGATTCTTCTGCCGCGTCAGAACCCAAAGCTTCTGCAACTTCTCGAGCCTGGAAGGATCAAAAGTCAGATATCTATCATTCGCTTGCCCAAAACAAACCACCTGCTGAGACAGATGCGAGAACTTGAGCGAACTTGCCTTGTGCTCTTTACGGAATTGTTCATCACGCGGACTTTTCTTCGAGACGGAGGGTTCTACTCCCAAGATTCAGACAATCTCACAACATTCTATTCCACGAGGTTTTGACCTTGCCGGGGCCCAACGGGCATTGAGGTACTCTTGCGAATCGGCTGTTGCATTGATTCTAATTTCACACGTCAGGTCGATATGACTTCACAACCCCCCGTACCCTCTTGTGCCGATTCGCGACTGTTTGGGTCCTGCCCTGATTGTAGCCGAGCCATTCGTTCCTTCAAGCTCATGCCTGACCAGTCTCACTACACGAACCACTAGATGAAAATGACTCACTAGGAACAGAGGCGGTCGCTTGACTTGTATCTTGTTGGCTCTGAGGAAATCAATAAGGACATTCATGACAAGTGTGAAAGCGATATCTTACATTAGGAGGAGGACTTTCTTTCGTGTGATCGTGTTTTTCTTGATTGCGAATGAGTTCGGCAGATAGATTTGCAATCACGACAAACCTCGGTTCTTGTCAAAGGAGGTCTTTGAGGGCATTAGAGACTTCTTAACATGCTCGCTGGGTTTGGAAGGTTCTATCGTGGTCAAACATGATTAACAAACAAATCCCTCAATACAAGCACGATAACCTGGCACTATTGAACCCGGGACAGCCAACTCCTTTCGAATCGGTTTCGTGTGGCTAGTAGCTGGCGGTGATTTCCTGAAGAATATCTAGTCATGCAACACAGGCAGAGCTTGTTGCTCTGAGTTACTTTCTTTCCGAACTTTCGACAGGATCAGAACTGGACTGATTCGCAAAGGAGGCTAATCTGTCTGCAAAGGGTGGCACCTGTTGTTTTACAGACACAGTCAGGAGGGAGAAAGGCGTGATCGTTAAAACGAAACAGGAAGGATAGAACGAACCTCTTGCGAGATGGATGACGAACTTGGGCTCTGCACCTCTGGTTGTGCCGCAGCTGGCGGTGATTTCTGATGCATCTTTTCATCTCCCGACTCATTCGACTTTTGTACATGCTGGCCCGACTCATTCAGCGCTCTGATCCGATCTTTCAGACCGCTGGTGTTGGATATAGCTTTTTCCACGTTCGGCTTCTGTTCACTTGACTTGGTTGCTTCGCTGCTAGGATTCTCTCCGAACCTGTAAAATGCAATCAGATTGACAGGAGAATAGCAAGAAGGATGTTGCCTTTGTAAAATTTTATCTACATCTTTTTTGCTCTCGGGTGGAGTTTTCGTCAATCCATCTTTTGAGCTTGAAGAAGATTCTTTTGGCACTTTTTGATCAGAATCATTGTGTTGTTTTATCCCACTTTGTAGTGAAGCTAATCTGTCCTTCAAGGAGTTCTCATGTTCTAATTTGGTAGCAGGGGGGTGCGGATTTTGAGGATCTTTCTTTGAGATTTCCTGCTGATTCTTGTCTGCATTACCCCGCTGAAGCAGGGCCAGCCTATCTTTCAAACTGCCCATGCTCTGAGTTTCGATACTGGATGAATCCGCCTTTTTATCATCAGAATTGGATCGCGGTCTTGACGTCTCTCCTGTAGGAGACTTTTCCCCGGTTGCCGCTTCATCTGCTATTGATTTGTCTTCACACGATTTTGACCGACCTAATTCATTCGCAGATTGCCTTTCTGTGTTTGATTTCGAATTTTCGGGTTTGTTGCTTCTTTCAAACAGGGACCTCTTCTCAGACATTGCCATCTACAGCACGTCAAAAATTTGTCAATAGGTTTCGGGCCTAGAAAACAACAAGAAGTCAGTCTCGCCTTTGATGGCGTTGCCTGTACGATTTCCGGTGACGATTGTTCCTTCTGCTCGATTTTTGCATCTACGAAATCTTAGGTATGGGACCGAGCAGGGAGACGGTCCCTAACCTTGTACTGCAGTGAGCATTGGGTGTTGAGTGAAATTCTACTTCCTTCGACCGATGTTTGCAACTGACTTTCGCAGCCACGACTTCAGTTGGAGATAATGGAATTGTATAAAAACCACAGGAACTCACCGAAGAACACTGAGGCAGCGACTTGTTGAAATTGTATCAGCAGATTATATCAGCATCCTTGGTTCCCTATGATGAGAGTGCACGGAGGGACGACAACAGCTGCTGAACGTAACAATCATCGTCGCAACACCAGTATGAAAATCAACCAAGAATGTGAACGCGAAGCAATATGATTTCAGCTGACTTCGCAGTTTCAATTTCTATACCTCAACTTTCATTCTATTTCTGAGTATTTCAATCTTAGAAAACCACATCAGGGTTTTGATCTTCCGACTTCGCATGATCAAACATCAATGTTGTCAATACACTTTCCTTCGCAGCCTTTCCTGCCTCGCCCGGAACTTTGCATTATTGTTTGATACCTCGAAATATGAAACTACTCATGATACACAAAGAGATGCGTTTCATAATTCTTGCCTATCTTTTCAATTTGCATGGTTCGTGTTTCTCACCATTTCTGCCCTTCCCGCTGTGCGCAGACTGCGATTCTTCCTTATGCTTGCCTTCACAGTCTCTTCATCTAGCTCCATTCTGACTGTGTTCATAACTCTCATTCTATCTCTCACTACAGCGCTTCTTCTTCCTTGGTCGTTTCACTCCTTCACCGCCACTCTATCTTGTTCTAACCCCCGCCATCGACTACTCATCATCTATCTCGACAACCCACCCTCGGAGACATATCCCACTACCCCGTGGGTACTTCTGTTTTTTCCGACCGAACTATCACCCTACCCATGATTATACCAAGTAAAATAACTTACTAAGGGGGGTATGAACAACACCCCTTGTCCCCATTGTGTTTGACGATACACCACCCGACCCCTCTTTCTCTGGACCCACCCCGGTCGTCCCCCGCTCGGACTACACTCAGTACAGAAGGTCACCCTACCACGTCTAAGTAGTACCCACCTTCAGTAGCTTTTGATAACCCCTACCACTATTGTTATCTGTACCCCTGTCCCCCCATTTTGACCTGTACCCCTACCCCCCACTGCAATCCCGATCATCTCTTTCCGAACTTTCCTGCCCTCATCCCTCACACCTTGTCCAACTTTCAAATTTAATTTGAATTTCTCAACCACATATTTCAATGTTACCAATTGAATGCATCTCAAGTTATCTTTTCATATTTCATTTTAAAGAAGAAAAATACAAATCAGTTTGGAGTCATACCCCTGCCGGTAAGAGCGCCCTTCAAAATCGAATAGGCATGGTACCAACTTCCAAACCTTTCTGGTACCAAGGTGGGTAGGGGCAGGGGTAGGGGTATCGGAGTCGCCGGGAGAAGTGATTGACTAATAATTTCCATACACCTACTGAGAACCGGGCCCGGGGCAGCCAGACACTAGCCTGGGCACCGCCGGTGTACGGTCAGTGCATTGCGGCCGCCGGCCGCCGCACTGACTCTAGTAGGGCCCAGAACGTGAATAGAACTTGCTAAGCTGAAAGTTTATTACTGAATGACCGTACGGTAGTAGTTGAACTGCTACATCCAATCTCACTGGTAGGCTGGTCCGTGGCAGGTCAAGTCTTGGCGCAGAGTCGTTACTGTGACCTTCACAAGCACCTTTAGATCCTGATCACGGTGATGGGCCAGGCCGCGATGAGTCCGATTCAGTATACCCGGTACACTGATCCGGGTAGTGGCATGACTCCGAAGTCTGTTAGAACTTATTCCCTTGTGTCGTTTGTCCATTAAACGTGAGTCAGAACTTTGACGGGTTTCTTCATTTGTGCCATGTCGTCATGAATGTCGAACGCCTTCCCGAAACCCTCACTAATTGCGCTCAATGAGTTCTGACCCTTGGAATACAGCTGCTTTGCTGTCTTGATGTCCCTTGCTAACCCTGGTGCATGTTTCGCAAGCCACGTTGGCACGCTACTCTCCAATTTCTTGTGCTGTACCGGCGTTTGAGCAGCAGCCTTCACAGATAGGCTGTGCTCTGAATGAGCATGTTGTGCATCACCGTGTCCTCGAACCCCCTTCCTTTTCATTGCATGCTGCAGCCTCGGATGAGCCGAGGGCTTGATGGTCTTGCCGTGCCACATCCACGCTCCACTGCCAGAGTACACAGGCCCGTTATAGGCAAGCTTGGGTTGGGGAGGGACATCCATCGAGTTGACCTGGCCCTAAAGCATTCAATCACTGAGGCGAATGTGCAAGGTATGATGTGCGATGCAGCAGAGGCCCCAGCGTTGCAGAAGGAAAGCAGGAATATTTCGAATGATGCCATGAAGTGACATACCTGCCATAACATCTGGCTCTTCGGCCCGTTGGAAGAAACAGCTCGGTATGTAAGCGTTGAGATCTGCAATTGAACCTTTAGAAAATACAAACAAACCACACAGCAGGGCACAACTCACAGCAAAAATTGCGGTAGTCAATGTCGCAGCAAAAGCACCGAAATTCTTATGTCTATTGAACAATGTCGGATACGCCTTGCAACAAGGAGTCAGCATGTTCCATCGTTTACAATGCTTTCTGTTTCTGGACTGCTTTCTTATCTGCCCACATGGACACATACTCTTCATTTCACAAGAGATCTGACTCCCTCTCTCCCTCCCTTCCTGCTTCCTTCCCAGAGATGATGGGCTATGTCTGGTTTACAACCACAACTTTCCCCGTCCACCTCAAAGCTTAGGCTTGATGAGCCCTGCCTCCATGGCCCACATTTCTCCTTTGTTCATCCACCTTCTGAGATTCTCATGCCATTTAGCGATACTTACTATAGCACACCTTGTTTCTTTGGCTTGCTTGTTACGCATTTCTTCAGTTGCCTTTCTTTCTTGTATTCTTCTCTTGCTCCCCTCTGGCTCCCCACTTACAGTAGTATTTCTCTCTTGATGTCTCTATTTTCTTCCCTCACTTGACAGCATTGACGTCATCTCTTCATTATTACTAGCTTTTCCAGCCACTTCTTCTCCCTCCCATCATTTTTCTTCGTTACCCCCGCGGCCCCAGCTTGCCCGCACTCACCTCCATGACGACCCTTCGACAAACCAATTGGAGACAGTTACAGTTCAAGATCGAATGTAACCGTAGGGTCTGAGTGGGGAAGAGACTACACACGCTCTGACCTGACGAAGCGTACCCCACCCCCCTTTCCAGTCGATTCACCGGGATGATATACCCGTGTACCATACAATCACCCCTTCTTTTGGTGGGGAAAAGTACCCCTGCTTCTCAAATTGCGCGCCCTTCCTACAATGATGCCGGGAGGGTTGCCGCCTATGGCGGGAACTTCGCTACCCCCGCCCCCCTGCCTCCTAGCACAGGAACCTTGCCCTCCCCCGATCCTCTACCGCACACAACAACTTCCCCTTCCCATCTCCTCCTCTCAACTCCCACTTGGCCACTGTAATGGGCACCTGTTCCAAAACCCTGCTGGGATTATACCCGTGCATGATATGCGAGTACCGGCATGGCAGGACGCAGGTGCAAACTACTTGGGCTACCAGAGGCTTCCTATGCTACTCGATCAGCAAGCTGCTGGTGTTGCTCAACCTGTTGCAGGGGAGAGGGCTGACGATGAGTTCGAAGAAGACACAAATTACGAAGAAAATTCCGATGATGAAATGATCATGGCAGGCCATATCATGCAGGAGGTTGCGAACAGCTCTCGCCAACATATCTCATCGATGGACTCTCACCAAATATCTTCAAGTATACCCAATCATTTCCATCAGCACGAACAGAATCGAATTCCACTCCAGCAGTTCCCCATCGACGAGAATTTCAGCGATACTTCCTCTGCTCAAAATTCACATCATCCTTCACACCAGTTAGTATTTGCCTCGAAAACAAAGTTATCAAAGGCAAGTAAGCATGTCTACGCGCTTCTCCGTGAGGTAGTGCAACTTCATCGTTTTCCCTTGAGACATCTTTGACCTGTTTCCATAGTTGATCGATCAGGATATGACGGAGCCTTCCGGCCAGCGTTTGCAGGACATTTCAACAAGATTGAAAGCTCTTCAAGAGGGTGACAGTGATTTCTTGGATGACGAATGGATCTTGTGCACATGGGTGCGTTTGAAAAAGGACTTGATCAATGAAATTCGGAAACGTGACGCTCTGATCGCATTGCAAAACTCTCCAGCCCAGGAAATGAACAATAATCATGTAGACGAGAACAACATGACAAGTGACAGTCAACCTCAGCCTGTCTCGGTTGAGAGCAGTGCAAGGAGTTGGGAGGTGATTAAGAATGAAACCAAGGCTTCAGAATCCCAGGAGACGAATCCAAGTGCACCTAAGGTCAAGAAACTTGGCAAAGCAGATCAATTCCTTGCTCCATGGAAGGTTGGCGACAAGGTTGAATCTTGTGATTGTCAAGGGGCATGGTACAGAGCTACAATTCAGGGAGTGAGCTACTCTCGTCGTCAGGTATCTCCTGCCCAAGGCTCCCTAAAAAAGATCTGAAATTAACTTTGCCATTGATTAGGTGATGGTGAACTTTGCTGGTTGGGACTCTAAATGGAACGAATGGATCAAACTTTCCTCGAGGAGAGTACGAGAAGTGGAATGCCCGGATGCTCCGCGTATCCGAAAAGATGGAACACCTATTTTTCGAAAGCACCGGTCTAAGGAAAAACAGGATGAAGAGCAACCGAAGCCAGCGAATAACGAAGCAGAGCCTGCGCCAAAATTATCTCGTGAAGAGCAGAGAGAACTTGATCGTGTAAAACGGAAAGAGAAAGAGGAATTGTTGACAAAGCGCAGACAAGAAATTTCGGAGAAGCGAAAGAATGGGAGCCACAAACCTCCAACAGAGTATCAGCGATTTATCAAGCAGGAATTGGAATCTATTATGAGGGAGAATCCTAAATTAACAAGCGTGAAAGCTCGTAAGATAGCACATGAAAGATGGAAGAAAAGCAGCGTCCGTTCGGCAGGATCTAGAATGGGGATCGTTATTGGAAGTCTGTACCAGTTGTACGCATGTCTTGATGAGGAAACTCCAGAGGATGTTGCTGAGAAACTGAAAGTAGATTCCGCAAAGCTGATTTCTATCAACAAATCAGTCTACCCTGACATTCGAGCAAACACCAAGTTGATGGAAGGTACTTTACTCAAGCTCCCTGCTAGAGTTGGGACAGGAGAAACTGTGGATGTGAAGATTTTTGCGAAAGTCCAATCGGTGAAGAAGACTTTGACACTTACATTGAAGCAGAATGATCGAGTCTCTAGCATAAAGAAACAGATAAAGGGGAAAGAAGGAATAGCTGTCAAGGAGCAGACAGTTGTCTTTTCGGGCCAAAGATTAGATGATTCCAGGACGTTGGCGGATTACAACATTTGCAATGACAGTCTCGTGTACGTGCAAGTAGGCTCAGAAGTCTTTGAGAATAGTGTGGAGGAAGAGATAGTTGAAGTAGAATATGATTGTGGATGGATGCAAACTCCATCTGGTCAAAAGTTCCTTGCTTCAGACGACGGGCAGCTGTGGTTGCAAACCAGTGCTGGCAAGCTTTGGACTCAGCAAGTAAAGGAGCGCGAGCAGCAAGAATCAGCCAAGAATTCAGGTGATGGAAGACAGCCCAAGGCTCTGAATAACTTCAACAATTTCATGAAAGAACAAGTTCCCTTCTTTCGAAGAATTCATTTTGACATGAATCACAAGACTGCATGGGAACGAGCAATGCAAATGTGGAGAGTTTCTTTCGCTCCCAACACGACTTCGCACAGGCTTGAATGGGGAAAGCTTCCCAGCGTTGTATCATGGAACCTTTCGGCAAGAAGTGTGAGGTCGGATCACGATGGGAAAGGTGGAGAGACTGATAGTGCTGTCAACGCCAGCAAGAAGAAGTCCAACACTGGCAATGGTGGGGTTGCCATACCCGATGAAATCTCTGACATGGTAAAGAGCAATCAGTTCAACTTCTCATATGATTGGACCTACCGTGAGAAACATTTGTCAAGGACAGCTAAGAAAGCAGCGAGAATCTCGCTCACTACTGACACAATTGAGATGATGACGTGCGAGCTGCAAGGGATGGATGACAGGTATGATGGCAGTGGATGGACGACTTGGAAGAAACGCAAAACAGATGCTGAAGAGAAGAAGCCCAAAAAAGTCCGAGTCAAGGGTGAGAAGAACGGAGTCGAAAGAAAACCAAGAAACTCAAAGTCATGCCCGTCCAATGACGTTTACGTATCATCCAAAACTGTAAACACAAATATTCCGAGATGGTTCAAGAATGTTCCGAGATGTCCAGAGCTTTTGCTACCTCCCTGTGAGGAAACATACGTCGAAGAAGGCCAACAAAGAAACCGTGAGGACTTGGTTGAGAAGATTCAGGCAGAATCGTCGGGCGAGCCAGTCAAGAGCATGGGTATGGCAGAGGAGATGCAGATCGAAGTGGTACCAGCATTAATACCAGCGGTGAGGAACGAAGGGAACGCAGAGGCAAAACAGGAGAACGATGCGATGTTGAAAGATGATCAACAAAGACAAGGGCAGATGGAATTAGGGGACCATGGAACACTGATGAACGCGACTACACCAAACGAAATCAAAGTAGAGGAGGAGGCGCACAGCTCGGCCGTCGTTGGGGAAGGAAAACGGGAAGGGCTGGAGACGCCATCAAAAGCTGAGGCGAGAGAAAACCCAGATGTGCTGGACAGTGCTACTGTGTTGGTATTGGAAGGAGGAACAACTGAGTGTCAGACGAACTTGTCGACTGAGAAAGGAGCACATACCAAAGAGCCTCTAGAGAGCTCTTTGGATGCCGAAGAAGACAGCAGGATGCAGGGGAAGGACAATGTGAACAGTGAGGAGGAGCAAGAAAGACTAGAATCGACATGTCATGTAGCGCAGGCATCTGAACGTTGCTTGCAAGTCTCGACGGCAGCAGCGCCAATTGAAGAGAATAATGGTGTTGACGAAGAGACCTACCCAAGCGGCAAGATGGAGACCACAGAAAGTGACATGTCGAAGGATACTGAGGGTAAGGAAAGGATCGAGGAAGTTGAAGAGGAGCAATGCGCCTGGATCCCTCTGCCTGACATGCCAAAAGCTGATCTTGAAGTCTCTTCACACTTTTTTAAGCTGCCATATCCAGCGGTGAAGGACATGAAGCAGAGGGAGTTTGAAGACGAAGCTTGCAAGGATAGTACATCGGAGTTTCCAACGCCCTTTACCCCCATCAGCAAGAACGTGTATGTTGGCGAGGAGCGAGCGGCGCTCAAGAGCATGGAGTCTCGTTCAGCTTGCCAGTGCATCTACGTGCCCGGTGTGCCTGAGACGGCTTGTGGAGAGCACAGTAACTGCATGCTACGCGACTTGTACATAGAGTGCGACTATCGCTGCCCCTGCAGCTCTCACTGTCTCAACAAGAGGCTGCAGAAGAGACAGTGGGCAAAGTGCAGCATCTTCCTCGCCAAGAACGGACGAGGGTGGGCTTTAAGGAACGACGAGGACCTGCGGCAGGGGCAGCTGGTGATGGAGTACATCGGAGAAGTCATCTCGGGAGAAGAAGTTTCGAGGAGGATGGAAGAGTATGCGGGCAAGCGACACACCTACATGCTCAAGTTAAACCAGGAGGAATTCATCGACTCGACGAGGTAAGCAGCTCTCGTTGCTCCTCCCCATGCTTATGGGCCATCGCAGGAAAGCCAACCTCGCTCGCTTCATTAACCACTGCTGCGAGCCGAACTGTGAGATGCAGAAGTGGTACGTGGGGAACAAGCAGTGTGTTGCTTTGTTCGCTAAGTACTTCATCCCTTCCGGTGAGCACCAGTCATCTTCTGCCTATAATCCTGCTCGACGTACTCACAATTCTGATGTTCCTCCCTTCTCCTCTCGTCGCTCAAACTTCCCTTCTTCTGCTCATGCCTTTTGCTTAATCAGGAAGCGAGTTGACTTTCGATTACGACATGGAATTCTACGGCAGCGAGAATGTCGTCTGCCTTTGTGGAGCTCCCAAGTGTCGAGGGACGTTAGGGAAGCCCAAGGAGGAGGAGAAAACGACGGCTGGGAGAAGTCGAATGGCACCCGGCAAGTCAATGTTAGGGAAGCGAGGGAAGAGTCCCAACGTCAAGGGAGGGAGAGAGGGGGATGAGGGCGCGGAGAAGAAGGTTCGCGAAGATCCCTACAGCAAGACTTACCCGCCAGCTCAACGACGGAGAGCCGACGAGAGCAGCAGGACCGGCGAGCCCGATGTCAAGAGTGTGCAGCATGAGAGGAAGAAGAAGACGTCTGAGCCTCCCAAGAAGCGGAAGAAGTCGAAGGAGGTGAAGGGTGAAGCAGCCGAGGAGACAGACAGTTTCATCGACTCACTCAGTCCCAAGGAGAGGAGGAAGCAACTCGCCCTTCTGAAAGCCTTCGAGAAAGCCAAGGCAGCCAAGAGCGGAGGAGAGTGAATTTACATTGTTAGGCTTCGAAGTATTCTATAAGAAACCGTTCTTCTCGTATCATTACTTCTCCTCCCTCCTGGCTGTCCGTGATGACGCTCTATTTTCTTCTTGTCTCCGAGAACGAGTAGCGACAGGTCCCATGGCCTGGCCTGTCCTGAACGTCCTCCCCTCCCCTCCTGTTCGCCCACATCACTCCTCCTTTCTTCGCCGACTTCGACTTCAAGAACAGCCAGAGAAGCTTCTGTCCAGGTCCTCTACACCTATTTCACTTCTCACACGCAAATTGGGAAAGAAATTTCAAAAACGATCATAGAGTTGACTACTTCACATGCAGCATCACATGTGACCTGCAATTTTGAATTTTGAAATTTGTTTTTTTTCATTTTGACAACAAAAGTGGTGATGGCGACTTGAACTAGGCAGAGACGAGGACGCGAATGGGAGAGCGAGGAAGAGGAGGAGAACAGTGCGAAGCTCACGTCAAGTTCCTCTGACATGTCCACGCGACAGTCGCTGGAGCCTGGGTTTGTTCGAGATGTTGCATGCGAGTGGGTGAGGCGGCCATGCACAGCTTCTGAGTGGTTTCTTACTCCTCCTCAGGTTCCTCCCACCTTGTCGCCGCCACATGCTCACAGGCAGGCGATCAGCATGCCTGAAGCCTCCGTAAGGAACCCGCCAGGCGGACCAAACAGAACGAAGAGCCGAGTCATGCCGACCATGCAGACGAGTCGACCGCCTGGTACAAGTCGCTGAGGCTTGCGGTGCCTTAACATGCCTGGTAGAGGCGCAGAGCCTCTCCGTCATGGACAAGCAAACCTTCTCAAGCTCAGCCAAGAAGAAGATGATTCGCAGGGAGAAGAAGTATTCACTGAGAAGCTGCACGAGCGACGACACAGCGAGCATGACGGAGGAAATGTTTGTCTCTCTTCCTTTCACCGCATGACACAAGCAGCAGGACAGCAAGGAGCAGAGCTTGACCTACTCGGACCTTCACCTCATGAGCAAGGACGACCTGGTCCTCTTCGCTCTCCGAGAACAAGGTGAATCATCGACGTTTCTCGTCATCGTTTGACTTTCTGGTCCAGAGAGGAGAATGATAGCTGAAAGGAAGCTCAAGAGCTTTCAGATCCCCTACGGAAGCCTCCCAGCCCCGACATCTCCTCCAGCTCCAGTCCAAGAAGACGTGACGCAGGCTCTTCAAGTCAGCCAGTCTCAGCCCAGGGCTCCGCCTCCTCGCACTCCAGCACAACGGAACTCTCGAGCAGCTCCCAAGCCGAAGGGCAGCAGTGTGAAGTCAAAAGTTGCTGCTGACTCTGTGACCGTCTCCTCCTCTTCCTCCTCCTTCGCTTCTTCCTCCAAGATCCCCGTTGAGGTCCGTGGAGGCATCGAGAGCAATGAGGGAGGAGGGACAACGGAAGTGATGGGGAGGGGTTTTCAGGATGTGAGGGGGAGGGAAGGGATCTGACAAAAGTGCAGGACGTCGAGTTCAACGACATACTGCGAGACTTCGAGTCTGCTGTGCTCGAAATCACATCGCGTCCTCCTTCAACCCTCTGAGAGTCTTTCAAGTGAAAAGAGAAAGTTCCTTCCATCCCCTGCTTGAGAGTCATTCTCTCCTTCCTCTTCCTCCTCAGAGACCTTGGATGCATTGTGCTTGTGTCGGATTGTTGTCCCATCGGGTGGTATGGATTAAACCTGCAAGAGTTCAGGAGATCTACAAGGGCAGTTAGTTTCACCACCATGGCGAGGGCACGACAACTTTCTTGTCTGGTTTGTCATTGAGCCAAGCTCCCCACCTGCTCTTGGTTTAATCACCCGCACTTTCTCCTCTTCCGCCACCAGCTGAAGGTCGAGGTGGAGACGACATGGCCGTCGCATGCCGCGATACCTGAGCACAAGCTCTCAGCGCGTCAACTTCTGGTGTAAACGGCAACACCAGCGAGGTCGAGGATGTCCGACAGAGGAGCAGCTCTCTTCCCGTGGTCCTTCACCCCTCGTTTCCTCCTCGTCATTCTCTTGCCAGCCGCATGAGAGTCTCACCTGCTCCTTTCTCCCATGTGGACATCAGAGGAACGTAGTCACTGTAAAACTTCGTGCGGATGTTTGCGGGGATGTTTTCTCTGCTCAACCAGTTGACCCCACCAGCACTCGAGCATGTTCATTTGACCTGCACCACTGGACGTCTGCTGGAGTGTCGGCAAACACCAGGTAGACACAAGGCTCGCTGCCACACCTGCTTCACGTCAGCCCCATGCATCAGTTTCCCGTGCTGACCAGTCTCCTCTCTCCATCTCAGCTGTTGCTCGTTGGATGTAGTTCGAGTCCATGAGCAGGTGGGGAGCGATGCTATCGCCGACAGGTCCTGCTCGCAAGTTTAGGCGAGCTGAAGAATCGGCGAGGGAGGGTGAGAGGCTGGGAAAGCAGACGCATGCAAGGCAGCAGACAGATGTCGTACCGTAAAGCTCCGGCGCTTCTCGTCGCCATCCGTCGTAAATTTGAGCTCTCTACATCAGGAGAGGATCATTAAAGTCGGTGTTTCCTTGTTTCCCTCTCCTCCTCCTTACCCCACACCACTTGTGCCTTCTCCGTCTCCCTCCACACCAACACACATCCACCCCTCCTCCTCGCATTTTAAACGATAGTTCCCTTCAACCCTTCGTCTCTCGTCGTACCTGAGAAGGGACATTGTCCCCTCGTCTCACATGTAGCGACACAACTGCTCGATTCCCTCAGCTTCTTCTCTCACAAGATCTGCGCTCGCACCTTTCAACGTTTGAGAGCCAAAGTCGGATCGGACTTGCTCAAGAACAGCAGCAGCACGCCTCTTCAGCTCCGGTCGAATTTTCATCTTTGATCGAACCTGGAATTCTCTCATTCTGAGCATCAAGACCCATTCCTGGTTTCCTGACCTCCTCCTCACTGTCTGCAAAATAAGCGAAACTTTGAAATCTGCCGAGGAGGTCTGTGTTGACCCCTCCCTCCATCTTGTATGTGGACGAGTCAGTTCCGTGTCAGTTCCGTGAACTGGAACTTTCTGACCTTCATGACGCTCTCGTCGTGATGGAACTGCTTCTCCACAAACGTACTTTGCACTCGCACTGTCAGCTGACGTATCAGAGAAGAGGCGAGAAGTAGTGAGGAGATGCTGGAGCAGCGACCTTGCAGGTAGCCGAAAGGAATCAGAGGTATGTGGAGGTCAAGCAGCTCGAAGAGTCTGAGTCTCTCCTGCTCTCTGCCAGTCCAAGGGATATCGGGGATAACCACCTGAGGCCTCTCACACGAGAGCATGCAGCCATGCCTTACCTGCATGTCTTGATGACGATGAGCGAACGCGATGAGAGTCGCGAGCTGAAACAGTTGGTTTCCCATCATGCCCGACACCCCCAGGCGAGAGTTGGTCACCCACTTGACCTGGTCTTGAAAGACATTCGCGCTCATACACACTTGGTCATGTTCGACATCTTTCGATCGTTGTCCACTATGCGGAGAAGGAGCGCAAGCCATGGCTGCGCTGCTTTTCCCGTTAATAACGTCTAGGCTAGGGCAGACCCCCGAGACCCCGCTCTCTTCATCGAACCACCTGTTACAAACGAACAGGGAGGAGCGATGAGACGAGACGTCCTCGCCCATGGCCTCTTCGTTCGCAGACGCTCCTCCCTCCTCACCCTGCATGACCTCAAGCTCACACGAGGAGCTTGTCGCCGCATGCTCCAAGGTGAACGCATCGCACAAGGAACAAGAGCGCAAAGACTTGGCATCTAGCATCCCCGATGCCTCGCAAAGGCTACAGTTGTAGACAAGAGAAGTCTTGATGTCTTCCAGGAAGAGGCCGCGCCATGAGTTGTTTGTTCTATGCGTCACTGTCGCATGCGTCAAGGGCCAGGCCGAGCATCTAATTCCCATGGAGAAGCAACTTCGCGATGCGTCCTGTAGCAGGCGATCAGTCGATTGCAGGGTGACCGTTTCAGTCGCTTCTGAGCTATGGAATCTGATGCTGACTTCTCCGTCAGTCCCCGAGCCCTCGCGTGCTCCGATCCGCACCGTTCCGATCAACAAGCACAAATCTCTATTTCCCTCCTCCACCTTCGTGAGCTGACCGGGAAGTCGTTCAGGCTCATGCACCAGGAAGCGAGTCTCTGCTACGCTATGAGGATGCATCTTCCACGCAGCCTCTGCATGTCGGGCAGGAATGAGCTGAGCTCGGATTCCGTGCCACCCTGGTTCCATTTTCACTCGCCCACTTATGTGAGAGGTGTTGAAGAGAAAATCACGGTCGTCTACTTCGACCTGTATCAACACACCTTGCTCTTCCATGTCCACGCCGAGCACTTGAAACAGCAAGTGCACACCATTATCTCCTTCCACCCTCACGCCCTCGCCATTTCGCGGTAGAAGGATGTGCAGCTCAGGAGACAGTGAGTCTTCCAGTCTCGTCGAGGAAGACGGGACAGGAGAGGGAGGAGGAGGAGGAGGAGAAAGATACGAAGAGGAGAACTGAAGAAGTTCAAGCAAGAGGAGCAGCCTGACGGCTCGGGCCCGTCCTACCCTCATGTCTACGCTCCTGCCATGCCCATCGGATGTGTAAAACCAAGTAAAAAAGTTTTACTGTGGGACAGCGAAGAAACATCACGCAGGGATAGGGAGAGCTTGCTATCTACACGTTCCCACGGAGGAGGAGGAGGAGGTGGAGGAGGAGGAGGAGGTTCAAGAGTTCAGAGGGGATAGCAGAAATGATCAGATGAAGGTTGATGAGAAGGAGACTGACGGCATTGACACGATTCTTTCGATGTGGGAGAAGAGAAGGTGAGGATTGCAGAAATGGTGAGATGTAGGGAAGGGCATTTTATCTGTTTTGCACGAATCATCAATTTCAATTACTTGAACTTTTTTCCAATCAGATGGCAGATGAAGATGATCTATTCGACGTTTTCACTGAGGGCAACAGACCACAACTCGAGAGCAAAGATCTTGTTGAGCAAGAAGATGGACCTGCAATTGATGCCATCCGAGCAAAAGTTCAGCAGTTTGGCAGATATTCAACAGACTCCAGCTCCATACAATTGGAAATCTACAAGATCAACTGTAATCGTGATGTAGAAGGCTGGCCATGTCTTGACTATGAAGTTTGGTATGATTAGTGTTGCTTGCTCTCCCTCCTCACTCTGTTGTAAGCATGGAATTCCCTTTGCCTCTTGCTCGCCACAAGACTCAAGCTCCCAAGGAGAAGGCGTCCTCCAACGTTTGTTTCAACTGCGGTGATGCAGGTGAATTAGGGGTCTGGCTGTGGGAGCAGGAGGTGATGCAATGAAATAGGCCATTCTCTCAATCAGTGTTCTCAGCCTCGCGATCAAAACGCCATCACCGAGAGGAGGAAGGTGACTGATTTTGCGTCCTAGTAGGTTGAAAGCTCAATTGAATGCAATCAAACCCTTTCAGGCTTGGGAGAAGAACAAAGGAAATCGATCGTGGACGAGTGAGCCGAGGTGATGAATGAGTCATGTTGCTGCTGCTGCCTCATGGCTGGCAGATACTTCGTTCCTTCCTCCTCGGAGCGCATCGCCCATGTCAGACCAGGAATGATCAGCGAGAGACTTAGAGAAGCTCTGGGGATTCTTCCTGGAAATCCTCCTCCTTACATGCGGGCCATGGTAGCTCCTCCTTGTCAGGTGTAGGCACTCACCATAAGCAGGTGAACGAAGGGTACCCACCTGGATATGTTGAGTACGAAGATGCTTCGATGAACAAGGAAATTGCTCTCAAAACAGACTCTTGCTTGGTAATGCATATGGGCAATCGGGTAAGACCTTTGTTCCTTGCGATGCAAAACATTGATTCGCATCAGGAAGAGAAGACGGACAAGTGCGAAAATCAAGGCAAAAAGGTTTGGTCCGTCGTCAGTGTTTTTCCATGTTGAAAATCATGTGCAGCGAAGAAGGGTTGGGCTGATAGGGTGTGTGAAATACCCTGGAGCCTTCGGTGAACCTCCTCCTGAGGGATGTAACAAAATCCAATGGGACTTCAGCTCGGGGTTTGAATCTCGTGAAAGAAGAGATGGAGTAGGAAATTCGCTACAGCATGACGAACGAGGTTGTATGCTGCTGTGCTCTCCATCACTCATGCCTGCTCATGTCTCCAGACAGAGGCTCCTGGTATCATCGAGATCTCGACGTACGCCATGTTGGTAGGTACCAACATGGAAACTATCAGGAGAGTCGATCATGGGACAGTCGAGACTCTGTGGGAAGATATCCTCCTCAAGCGAGCTATCAGGCAGACGGGAGAATGTACCAGGACGGCAGAGAGGGCTCCTTTGAAGAAAGAGACTTCCGACGACTTCCAGACATGGGCCGGGCAGGGAATATGGATCAAAAGAGGCGGGAATGGGGAGGAGGGGAGCGCGAGAGACGCTTCGCAGAGCAAGACAACTTTCAGTATCGAAATGATGAGAGATATATGAATGAGCAAGACTATGACAGAGGTTACTTGAGCTAATTTCTCGTTGTAAGTGTGATGTCATTGTCAGATCAAGAATTCCGCTCGCGCTCAGGTCAACCAAGAGAAAGAGACTACCGGGGCAGCGACAGAGAGTACGATTCGTTCAGAGGATCATCGCAGAATATGATGTATGATCAAGACTTTGGCGGCTTTGATCGACCCCGTAAGTTTCTCGAAATTTGACATGCTCTGGCCTGACTGTTATGTCTCTCCAAGGAGAAGGATTTCTCGAATCTCACAACAGAAGGGACGCTCCGTACCCAAGAAACCTTGATCAAATCAGCACGTATGATTACTCATTAGCACCAAAAAGACAGATTCTCCCTTCCCAAAGACAAGTCAGGACTACTTCTGAGGTGATATCCAACTTATTGCTCATGCCTCTGAAAGCTTCTCCCAGGCCTCCAGCCACCTGGGATCTTTCCGAATGAGCGGAATGCATGGCCAGGAAAGGATGGGGATGGGAGGGATGCCGGGACAAGGAGGGATGGGGATGGGAGGGATGCCGGGACAAGGAGGGATGGGGATGGGAGGGATGGGGATGGGAGGGATGCCGGGACCAGGAGGGATGGTGCAGCGGAACCAAATCAATCCAATTCGGGAACAAGCGACAAGATTGCATGCGCAGATGATGCCTCAGGTACTTGTAAGCTGATTGAGGGTCGTCGCCTGAGTTGTTTCCTCGCAGTTCAATCATCCGTCACGCAGAAATTTCTAGCTGCCGTGGGACCAGGAAACGAAGCCATCATCTTCACTTCTAGTCTCATCCACCTTTTACTTCTAGTCTCATCCACATTTTACTTCTAGTCTCCGATCATCCACCTTTTACTTCTAGTCTCAAAAAATAAAATGGGCCGAATCGGCCTGGTAGGATTCAAATTCAAATTCGAATTTTACTTGATTTCCCGCCTTGTTTTCCCCGCCCATTTTTACGCCCCCTCTGCCATGCTCTGCCTTGCGCGACCCTCGCGGCTCCTGTGCTTGGATTATCATTTCTACCTGCCTCCTCATGTTTGTCAGCGTCTTTTCTGTCTCCTGTCTCTGCTCTCTCACCCTTTACTTCAACAGACGTGATTCACCCTTTCCTCTCGCACATGAACATCCTTCACGTCTGGTCTTTGATTTGGATGCCTCAGGCTCATTCAAATGTCGACTGTCGAGACTGTTAGTATTGAGGGTGCTCCGTCCTCCTCTAAGGATTTGAATGTTATCGCATCTCCTGAGCCCTCCAAGGTTTAAGTGTTTTTGCACTCAACGTTCTCCTCTTGACCTTCTCTGCAGAAAACCGATGTAGACGAGGCTGTGACAGTCAAGAAGGGGAAGGGGAAGTCGTCTGCTGAGGGCATCAAGCCATCCAAGAAGCAGAAGACCATCACCTCTGTCCCTAAAACGCTGCCGGCTGTCAAGGAGTTGATCAAGTCCTGGGGCTTTGAGGATCCTGACTGCGCGTCCATGTGCGCGATGGCTGGCATGGCAAAGGGAAACCTCAAGGTCAGAGCTGTAGGCCCGTGATGTCGCTGACCTTCGTGCAGGTTGACTTTGACGCCAAACTCGATTCGATTGCCTGGACGGGCGAATGCCCTGCTTGCAAATCTGAGATTCAAGTCAGACTCCGTGCCCTGCTCAAACAGGCCGACTCCGGTCACGACTACGAAGATGGTTCTGACGGAGGAGGGATCGTGTGCAGCAAGGATGATTGCTTCTACCAAGGGTACCTCACCAACATGTGTGGTAAGAATATGTCTCAAGACTCGGGCAAATATCACAGTCACTGTCGCGAATGCAAGGGATTCGGAAAGTGCATGGGCGACTGTCGCACCTCTCACTGCTCCAAGTGCGGCAAGCATTACTTCGCTGGGTGGTCAGGATTCGACTGCAATAATTGCTCTCGCTCAAAGTCGAAGAAGCAAGGCTCCGGTCGCCCGAAGTCGAAGAAAGGCTCTAGTCGCCAGGGAGATGATGAATGCTTGATTATGTAACTCGTCTTGTCGTCTTGTCTGGATCTCCGTGGAGATAGAAGAACAATCGATAGTTCCAAACATCTGATGCATTCTTCGGCATCAAACTTAGAGGATTTTGCCACAATTATGGGCTGGTATTTCTTGATGTTCAGACTACTTTAGCAGTCTTGTCACTATAACGCGGTCTTAATGAACTGAGTGTGCAATAAGTCCCTGCATGAGAAATTGGACCCTTGAGCAGGCGAAATTATCTTGTTTCCCTCGAAATGACATTTAAAATCAAAATTAGTGTCACCGACTAATGGAAACCCGCTTTGCTGGTTGAAAATGCACATCATTCTGAGGGAAATACTGAGTTTTGAAAGTCATATGCCCCCAGCCCAAAAACTGAGAAACTCTCCTACGATGACGATTCCATCACTGTGAGCGTGCGGGTTCGAAAATGTAGAGGGAGAAAGCGACGTGGAAGAATAGGACGATGAAGGCACAAAAACTCCTAGCAAAACTTTCACTGCTGTAAAGTTGGTCTCTACATGCGGCCAGCAACAAGCCTCTCCCCCTTCCAACTAGATACCTTGTCACCCACACCAGACGATCCGCAAGCGTTTAAGAATGTAAAAGATGTTGATATCAATGGCTCACATCTCAAGAATACAGCAAAGCAGATCGCGGGCACCAGTAGGAGGCCAGCTGCTCGAGGTCGATGCCTCTCCAGGAAGTGCCGGGGTGCCAAGTGACTTCATCTGCAGCATGTTCAATTCTGGAGGCCCAGGCGTCAGACCACTCACATCCTTGTGCATAGATGAGTCCAGCTGAATCCGAGCACCTCAGTGACACCTCATCACCCAAGCGACACAACTGAAACAAAAATTGACGTACAGCCCAGGAGCGAAAAGAGCCTATAGCACCAGGTTTGCGGCGAGACTGCTTCTTCTGAGTGCGAGCGCTAGAGATCGGAGGATTTGACGTCAACAACCTTTCGGGTTTAGAGTTTCGGGTTTAGGATTTCGGGTTTCGGGTTTCGGGTTTAGGGTTTCGGGTTTCGGGTTTAGGGTTTAGGGTTTAGGGTTTAGGGGCAGCATGGCTCCTCGTCAGGCAGCATGGCTCCTCGTCAGGTGTAGGGGAAGCCGCCAGGGCGCCAAGGAAGCTGCAAGCAAGAGGTTTGTATACTTCAAATAGCTTTCTAAGTATGGTTCTTCAGTATGATGAAAATGTTCGCAACCTGCTGTATCGGAGATCATGCCAATACACGCAGAGCGGACTTGTGGATGCCTCTGTCCTCGAAGCTGATCTCGTCGAGAGGGTGAAGAGCTTCGCGAAGCGTTATCCGAACAGCAGGACAGCCCAGGCTTGCAAGGCTGTGGAGGGATGCACCCCCGACGCTATCGCAGAAGCCATCCGCTCGACATGTCAGCAGGCACGACGTGAGTTTCTGCAAGAAGCGATGACTGGATGGAGTGACGCATCCAGAGAGTGGTTTATGCAGCAGATTGAAGAAGCCAAGAAGGAGAAGGTCGAGACATACACCGCCTCAGCAGGCAACGAGGTGACTTCCTTCATCTCCATGACTCTCCTGGGCATCTCCTCGGTGTATGTCAACCATGAAGAAAAGCTGAAGAAGAAATTTGAAGAGATCGGACTGATCGTAGACTCAGTGCAAGAGAGTAAAGCAATCATGTGGAAGGCTCCGTATAGACCCGAGATAGCGAGTGCTGAGGAGATCCCGGTGACTGTTTCCTTCCTCCGCAATGCACAAGCGGAGAAGCTCTGGCAGGGAAGAGAGGACTTCGCGATCGATGGTCGCAAGTTCACAGCTGTACATGTGAGCATCGTGCACGATCGATCTTTCAAGATTCGAGCCAAGAGAGGACCCTGGGGCAAAGGGGGCAGCTTGGCAGAGCTGACTCACCTGCTAACCTTGGGCGGCATGACAACGGCTGAGATAGCTGCCGTCTATCGCTATCAGCTGCTGCGCCAGTCCCTTGCAGCGGTCCAACTCCAGCCGCTGGCAGGCATGCTGGTCGCTGGGGCGCCAGGACAGCAAGTCCACAAAGGCTTAGGTCAGAAAGGCTTCATCGCTGTAGGGGCCAACGTCATCTGGAGACAGAGGGAGGTGGAGTGGATCGTCTCCTCGAGCTGCCCAGAGGCGAATGATGTGCTGGCCTGCTCGCTGAAGCCTAGCGTTGCCGTTCCGTATCCTTGTCGGATCAGTCAACCAGGGTGGTTCTCATAGTAGTTTTAGTCAAATTAAAGCGGCAAGAGAAAATTGAGCTAAAAATGTTTGCTCCGTCAATTTATGTACCTTTTTCGTTGCCAGGGGCTGCCGGGCCATCCAAGACGAGAAGGGCAATGTTGAGCAAAACCTTCCTCTATTTGATATGAATAGGCGTGTATAGTTGACTAAATAATCATGAGGAGGCTCGGGGTAGGTATTCAAATGATTTGAATCTTTCCAACGGCCTCCAGCCCGTGTTGAGGGGTAGGGGGTAGTGCAAACTTCTCGTATCAATCTAAAACACTTGTAAACGACCTCACACTTGCCCCGTCTCTTCCCTATCCCACTACTCCCAATGTACTCAGGGACTGTTTGCTCAGCTGCTGAGCGCAGTCAAGGACCATGGCCCCTCAATACTAACTCCTGAAACTGCCAGGCAAGTACTGAGATCAAACAGCTCAATTCTTGGCTGAGAATCACACCTATAGTAGGTTGAATGTGTAAGGTATGCATCTCATCGAAATTTTTCCTTGTTGTGTTGACGCCCTAGCTTCCTTTACCTGAATGCTTCGTCGGTTGAATAAGAAACATATTTCAAGAGACTTCCTGTTGCTTTGCCATGATTGCGTTTTTTGAGGCTTCTCCCAACCTATTGTAATATGGCGGTGTCATTTGTGAGGAGGTGAGGAGTTTGAGAGGCTGGGGGAAGGAGAGGGGAGGGGTTGGAAGGGAAATGGACGCCTGGGAGGCCAGGCTAGTTGATATGCCTGATCGCTGCGAGAGGAGATGCCGGAGGAGAGACCGTGTTTACTCAAGACCACTAGCGAGGAAGGCAGGAGGGCGAGGAGGACATGAGAGGAGAGGAAGGAGAAAGCTACGGGTAGAGACGGTTTACTTGACAGCACTAATGAGGAAGGGATGCTTCAGAGCCTCCAGTGCTGTAATCCTCGTGCGGGGATCGATGTTGAGGCAGCAGTTGAGGAAGTCCCAGATCCCATGTTTCTCATCCACCTCCAGCCAGTCCTTGCATCCCGCATGCGCGCCCAGGGAGCTTGACAAGGTCCGCCATGTTTGCTTGAAACCGCGGGCATAGCTGAGATGCAGTTCCAATGGTGGAATCTGAATGACATCAAGTTAGCAACCTCAGGCCTCGCGGCCAACCCATATCACCTCATCGTCATCCTCTTGATACAACAACGCCGACGACAACAATTTTACCTTAACGTCGAGGAGCTTCCACACAGCATCCATGCTCTTGATGTACATGCGCAAGCTGCTCAGACAGTCAGACAAGCGCACTTCCAAGGTACACAAAGAGCGTACCCGTAGATCTCCATCGTTGCCGTGACTATGTCGTTATACTGGAACCATTGGAACTGTGTCGTGCGGCACAGCAGGGTAAGCAGTACTACCCCAGCAGCCCACACGTCCACTGCTGTGGTCTGGCACTGCATGCCCATGAGCACTTCGGGCGCTCGGTATCCCCGAGTTCCCGCGCGTTTGACTGGACGTTCGAATTTGACCCCTGAGTTCCTCACTGTCACCGATGCGTTCGTCTTGCTGACGCCCAACATGATCCGCCTCTTCGCCATCTGCTGCGCCATCTCTAGCTTCTCCTGCTCCTTTTGATTCCGCGAGGAGCGAGAGCTGGCCGTAGAAACCTCACAGGGCAAGATGTTGCCGATGCTGCGGCCTGATGACTGCATTTGTTTCTCTGCCAGCCCAAAGTCCACAAGCAAGTACTTCTTATTCCTTCTGTCATAGAGGAAGTTATTAAAGTCACATGGTTCGGACTGTACTAACTGGTACCAAGAAATTGTACTCAAGAAGACCCTACCCCTGAAAAAGTTCTGCTTGGCTCTTCGTGATTTGAATTCGGAACACGGTCGGAAGACCCACCCCGCCCCCACATGAGGCGTGGTATGCGTGGATTTGAATCTACCACCCTCACCGCGAAACGTTTTAGAGCTCCAAGGTCAATTGAGAAAGGCAACGCTATGGGTGGACAAGAAGGACCGACTGCGGGTGGAGATGAGGGAAGATGGCGAAGAAGAGGAAGACATGGAGGAAGAGCAAGGCGAGGGCGAGGAAGAAGACGGGGCGAGCCCGTACCTGACTGAGGCTGAGGAAGCTGAATGGAGGAGGAGTAGGTGGCGACCGAAGGCCAAGGTGAGGAGAGGCAACTCTTCTGACTGAGGCTGAGGAAGCTGAATGGAGGTAGAGTAGGTGGTGACCGAAGGCCAAGGTGAGGAGAGGCAACTCTCCTGACTGAGGCTGAGGAAGCCAAGAGAAGACAGCAGAAGTAGAAAGTAGAAAGACGCCTCAGAAGCAGGGTTCGCATTGTAGGCCGTGTACTCCCAGTGCTCGAGCGCCTCTTTAGACTAGGATCAAATTGCATAAGCCCACAACGAGGCCGAGCAACATTCTAGCATTCTAATAAACTCACATAATAATAATAATAATAGGGTTTAGGGTTTAGGGTTTAGGGTTTAGGGTTTAGGGTTTAGGGTTTAGGGTTTAGGGTTTAGGGATCTGAGGCAGGATCCCTTTATCTGAGGCAGGATCCCTTTATCTGAGGCAGGATTAAGGTTTAAGGGTTTAGGGTTTAGGGTTTAGGGTTTAGGAGGATCCCTTTATCTGAGGCAGGATCCCTTTATCTGAGGCAGGATCCCTTTATCTGAGGCAGGATCCCTTTATCTGAGGCAGGATCCCTTTATCTGAGAGGATCCCTTTATCTGAGGCAGGATCCCTTTATCTGAGGCAGGATCCCTTTATCTGAGGCATGCAGATCAGCGGGGTCCCTGCGTGGTAGAGCAAGAGTCGCCAGGAACGCAGGAAGCTCGGGAAACCATCGAGAATGCTTCGAAACATGTGGCCAATATCTATTGTGAACCCTGACGAGATCGTGCAGTACCGTACCTCCAGCTACCTCAAGAGGCAGACGGAAGCTGCAACGATGCCGTCATCAGCCGAACTGATGCGGAGACTGGATGAATTCGCAAGGCAGAACCCCAAAAGCAGGACGAGCAAAGCTCTGAAAGCAAAAGAAATTTCCTTGGAAGCCTTAGCCGAAGCCATCAGTCAGACATGCAGCTTCGCTGAACCCTCGTCACTGGAGAATCCGAAAGGGCTCAGGCAGTGGGGTGACGATGTCAAGCAGTGGTACCTGTCAGAGTTCCAAGCTGACAGACAAAGGCAGATGGAGGCCAGATCATATGATGATCAGGGCACCAATGTGCAGACGATTACCATGAAGGTACTTGGGATCCCTGCATACTTTTCCAGACAGGTGGAAAACTTATGCCTCAAGCTTGAAGAGCAAGGCTTGATCGTCGATCAGACGCAAGACAGCAGGAGCCTGATCTTCAAGGCTCCCTTGAAGCCTGACCTTGTGCAGGCAGCGGAGATCCCAGCAGTGATCACATTTGTCCGCAATGAGGCGGCTGAGAAACTCTGGAAAGGAGATGGTACCTTCAAGGTGGCAGGCAGGAGGATTCTAGCAGTGAACCCAGCAGCCAACCCACCGATCTCGTTCAAGATGCGGCCAAAGAAGGAGAACATGAGCAGAGTTGGAATCCTAGCTGAGGTGGCCCAACTCCTGATGCTCAACGATTCGAGCACAGGTGACATATGTGAGATCTACAGGCAGCTATGCCTGAAGCAGGGATTAGCGATTATTGATCTGATCCCAAACGCGGGAATGACAGTGAACCTCCCCCCCAAGAGGAACCTACCGCCAAAGAAGGTGTTCGCTGCGGTAGGAATAGAAATAGTCAACCAGAACAGAGAGGTCGACTGGATCGCAACGTGCTCGAGCCTTGAAGCAGCGGACATCGTTCTTCAAGCATTCGATCGACATGGAAAGGATCGTGCAGGAGTCACTTTGGGACTGGTCTCAGAGAATGACAAAATACTGAAATGGTTCTCAGTGCAGATGGAAGCAACGGCGCTGCACAAGAATATGAAGAATGCGGTGCGACAAGAGGGCACGGCAATGGCAACGGGAGCAGAGATGCTGTACTCGGTACAAATCTCCTCTCCTGTGCCGTCAGGGAAGTTCTCCCGAAATGAGATCGAAAAAATCTGTGCAAGTGACGAAACGGGCAGAGCAAAAGTCATCCGAAACATTCGGAGGGCTGTCGCTTGCTTTGATCCACAGGTGGAAAAAGATCTCCAACGGATCCACCTCCAATGCGATCCAGAAACAGGGATCTGGGATGGGTCTGGTATCATTCTCCGGCTACGCAGTGAAAGTAGTGCAAGAAAGATGATGGCTGAATTCCCCACACAGCTCCTCTGCTGGCAAGGCACAGTTGAAATCCAAACGACAGCGAGCAGTCTGAACCTCCAAGTGTCGCCTCAGGCAACTCGCGATCAGTCTAACCCTGAGGCCAGGTCACAAACGACGGGGACCAGAGCAGAGGGAACTGTGTGGAAAGAGATCGAGCTCAGTTCAATTATCAACGAGACCAACCTCCCAGATGCGGGAACGGACGTGGTCGTCGAAGAACTTAAGGAAACTATTGCTGACGTAACTAGGAGCGAGCTGCAACAGCAAGGGCAGCTTCAACTCCATCTTGATGACGCGGTGCAAGAGATGGCTCCGGAGAGCCCAGGAAATGCATCCTTCCCCACGCTACAAGAGTGGGCTGATAAGGGTGCCAACGCGGCAGAGAATGCCGTGAGCAAGCAACTGCGCGAACGAGTCAGGATGATTGCAGGCAAGCATACGTGGAAGGTAGCGAAACGCAAGAGCAGCGCTTTCGCACCAAATGAGGAGAAGCCCTTGAAAACTGACCTTCTCTTCATTGCTTTGAATAAATTCCTGGAGGAAACGGCGCTCTCCCTCGTAGGAATGCTGGGAGATAGAAACGAATTGAAATTTGTTTTGAGCAGTGAGCTACAGATGAAAGACGCTCGAATGGAAGATGTACCCGAGGCTGGGAGCATGGCGGCAGAATCGGAAGAGATGTCGCTTGACTCCTTCCCAGCAGCGCAAGCCTAATGGAAGCAGGAGGAGGAGGAGGAGTTGAGGGCAGGTGGGACAGTGGGCACCAGGGCGTGGTGGAATCAAGCAGAAAGAGACAAGAAGGTGAGAAAAACAATGACAAGAAAAAAACAGAAAAAAACAGAAAAATACAAACATTCGACTTGATAGGGGAGATCCCCTGGAGTCTACGGGAAAACAATAGAGAGTACGGAGCAGCGGCGCTGCTCAACTCAGGAGAAGATGGATTTCTCTCTGAGGACGTTATGGAGGCATTAATCGTTGAGGTAAACCGAAATTTAGAACCAGCGGAAGACAGATTTCAAATAGCATGGCTCCAAGGCACGAGGTATGCCAGCGAGCAAACTAGAAACCAATTTGGGCTGCAGAGAGGGACCATTGTTCTCCCGAGAATAGTAGCGGGTTTGAGAGATCAGGAGGGAAGGACACGGAGAGCAAAACGACTGCTAGCCGGGGCAGCTCAACCATTCTTATTCCCTTGCGTAGAGAACGGCAATCATTGGATCCTAATCGTGGCAGATGTTGACACAAAAAGAATACACATCGTCGACTCGCTTAGCACGGCCCTTGAGAGAGACCTAGGGACAGTCAGAAGCCAAAGGGAGGCACAGTTTCAATTGGGGGGCGCACAACGAATGGACCTAGCAACACTCATGGCGACGATTATCACCGAGGCAATTAGCGATCAACAAGAACACTGTGACGACACGACATGGAGGGCATGTGTGTCAACTGGGCTGCAACAAACAGACGGCTACAATTGTGGAATTTTCCTGCTGATCGCAAAGACACGAAGGAAAACACAACAACAAGATATCTTCAACAAGATATCTTCAACACAGGGAGGCAACAAGGCGTCCCCCCCCATCAGCAAGACATCTGCTGCTGGATGGGCTCTGGGGGGGGGGTATGGAACATGTGCACAACATGTGCACATGCGAGAAACAACCCAATGCACAGCACGCGCAAGATACAGGTTACAAGGAATGGCAAGCTGCAGAGCTCACCATGGAACGTATACCTAACCGGATGGAAAGGCGAGAAGACGGCCAAGAACGCGCAGGCGATCTACAGGCGACCCAGGCATCTGAAGATGCACGGCTACAGGAGAGATTGGAAGACGAGCAGGAGCAAGGAGGACAAGGATCAACGAAGCTCATAGCCGCGACGGTCCTGCAACTACAAGACAGGTCAGCACAGGTAGACATCCTGACGTCCTCCCCTCCCCCACCTCCTGCTTCATGCCCCGTCTCTCCACTCCAGCCACCTCCTCCGCCACAAGCAATGCACACAGCGCCAATCTCGAAGAACGACAAGGAGACAAGGGGAGAGGAGGAGCTACCAGGCCCAACAAAGATGCAAGATGGGAACTCGTCTCACCTTCAATGGGCAACGGGGGCGGAGGAGCAAATCCTACCAGCAGGCAGCAAACCACCCACGACCACCACCGACAGGTCAGTGCAATCAGCATGGGTGGAAACGCACAGGAAGGACAACGCCCCTGGCAACATCATTTCTCACAATGTCAATGGATGCAGTCAATTTGTGCTGAAACACATCCTAGGA